TGTATGTGTGGTGACTGTATGTGTGGTGACTGTATGTGTGGTGACTGTATGTGTGGTGACTGTATGTGTGGTGACTGTATGTGGGGTGACTGTATGTGTGGTGACTGTATGTGTGGTGACTGTATGTGTGGTGACTGTATGTATGGTGACCAGGGAGTCGTACTCAAACTAGGGAGGTGACACGGCACAGAAATCCGTGTCACAGGGGTTGACTCGCACCCTTGACCCCTCGTTGGTTTTTTTGGAATAGTTCAGTCCAGTCCAGTCCGAAAGGTCATACTCGGATCGACTCGCCTTCTGTACTTCACCTCCAAGCGTGCCGCATGGGTGTCTAGTTTTTGAAATTAATGAGGCAGCACATTTCGTTTACAGCCCATCACTCGCCAGTATTCTTTGAAAGACTACCAGCAATTTGTTTACCTCCTGCCATGTCCGAACTAATTGATAGCAGTGATGGCAACAGCAGCAGTTATGAGACGGCGTGTAGTGTTACGGTAACTGTTCAGAACTGTTCAGAGCCGTATCCTAGGTTAATCCGAATACTAAAATTGACCCAAATAATTGCACATAGCACGAAGCTGGTTTTTGAAAATTGTAAGTCGTGTATCTGCCCCATTTCTTCTTTATGACTTGCACAATACACCAGTCTTCCTAAACAACACATTTATAGCAGGGGTTAAGTACCATATAAGAGAAGTACAGCCAGTGATATTGGCATGTTGAAATACTACAATTTTGACACAAATTACACATAACACGAAGCCAGGTTTTGAAAAATGTAAGTCGTGTATCTGCCCCATTTCTTCTTTATGACTTGCACAATGGTCCAGTCTGCCTAAATAACACATTTATAGCAGGGGTTATGTACCATATTAGAGAAGTACAGCCAATGATATTGTCATGTCTAAATACTACAATTTTGACACAAATTAGACATAACACGAAGCTGGTTTTTGAAAATTGTAAGTCGTGTATCTGCCCCATTTCTTCTTTATGACTTGCACAATACACCAGTCTTCCTAAACAACACATTTATAGCAGGGGTTAAGTACCATATAAGAGAAGTACAGCCAGTGATATTGTCATTTTGAAATACTACAATTTTGACACAAATTACACATAACACGAAGCCAGGTTTTGAAAAATGTAAGTCGTGTATCTGCCCCATTTCTTCTTTATGACTTGCACAATGGTCCAGTCTGCCTAAATAACACATTTATAGCAGGGGTTATGTACCATATTAGAGAAGTACAGCCAATGATATTGTCATGTCTAAATACTACAATTTTGACACAAATTAGACATAACACGAAGCTGGTTTTTGAAAATTGTAAGTCGTGTATCTGCCCCATTTCTTCTTTATGACTTGCACAATACACCAGTCTTCCTAAACAACACATTTATAGCAGGGGTTAAGTACCATACAAGAGAGCTACATTGTACATCTAGTCATACTGTCATAAACAGCCAGCATTTTTCCTGCAGCAGTCACACCACCATCATCATTATTTCCAGGGAAATCCTCTTACATTGTCAGCTCCTACGTCGTTAGATACAATGTAGGGGGCTGTAGGACCGGCTCGTCAAAGATAGAGAACCTGAACAAGCGTGCTCGGGACGTCTCAGCAATCGTAGTATGCCTGAGCACTCCAATAAAAACTTGATCAATGGCAAAATCGTTCCCCACAGAAAAATCATACTTTGCAGGTCTCGCGTTGCACGCTTGGAGGTGAAGTACAGAAGGCGAGTCGATCCAAGTATGACCTTTCGGACTGGACTGGACTGAACTATTCCAAAAATAACAACGAGGGGTCAAGGGTGCGAGTCAACCCCTGTGACACGGATTTCTGTGCCGTGTCACCTCCCTAGTTTGAGTACGACTCCCTGATGGTGACTGTATGTGTGGTGACTGTATGTGTGGTGACTGTATGTGTGGTGACTGTATGTGTGGTGACTGTATGTGTGTTGACTGTATGCGTGTTGACTGTATGCGTGGTGACTGTATGTGGGGTGACTGTATGTGTGGTGACTGTATGTGTGGTGACTGTATGTGTGGTGACTGTATGTGTGGTGACTGTATGTGTGGTGACTGTATATGTGGTGACTGTATGTATGGTGACTGTATGTGTGGTGACTGTATGTGTGGTGACTGTATGCGTGGTGACTGTATGTGTGGTGACTGTATGTGTGGTGACTGTATGTGTGGTGACTGTATGCGTGGTGACTGTATGTGTGGTGACTGTATGTGGGGTGACTGTATGTGTGGTGATGATGGCTGTGTTGTTCTTTCGCTACCTAGCTGTCATGTGTTGTGCATTCTACACACCACTGCATGTGTTGTACTTGCACCTTCACACGGTGTGCTACATCCACGCTGCTGTATGTTATAGTCGCTGGCTGCTCTGGTGATGATGGTATTCTGGCCAGCTCACCACCGTGTGCTACAGTGAAGTTTACTGAGTCTGTACGTGAACAAGTGAGCAAGCAATGTCACTTCTACAGAGGCGTAGCTGGCACATCTGTGGTGTGGTCACCTTGTATCAAAACCCATCTGTGGTGCGGTCACCTTGAGCCAAAACACATCCGTGGTGTGGTGACCATGTACCATGGGCAACCTCATAGCCGCCATTTGCCCATTTTTGACTATGTACAGTCAACTTCGCTTATAACGACACTCGGCGGGGCATCAGAAAAGTGTCCTTATTCGCGAAGTGTCGTTATACCCGAAGTCTCATTATATTTGTCACAGTTGGATGGGATTTGCTCTGGGCATGAAAATTATGTTGTTATTCGCGAATTGTCGTTATATCCGCAGTCGTTATTAGCGAAGTTGACTGTAGTGCATATGGCGAGCATTTTGCTGGTGTGGTGACCGGACTACGCTGACTAAACACGAGCTACCGTATTTTTCGGAGTATAGTGCGCACCTTTGTATAACGCGCACCCCCAATCTTCATTGGGGGTGCGCACTTCAATCTGCATTGAAGTACATGCATTTCATATTCGGAGCATAGTGCGCACCTGCGATTAAGGGCCTAAAATAGCACATCTAAAGTGCGCACTATACTCCGGAAAATACGGTACGTACCTGCTTCTACACCTAGTTTGAGCACAGTACTGCACACAGTACATGCCTTGCTTACTGGAAGTCGACAAATTTTCGGCCCATTCAAATTTCGGCCTCCCAGGGCTAAAACACATTTCGGCTGCAACAAATTTCCGGCCTGTACTGCTGCCGCCTGTACTAGTATATACTGTCACACTGAACCTTGCAAAACAAAATTTAGGCTGCAACAAATTTTCGGCCAAATATGATCAGGCCGAAAATGGCCGAAATTAAATATGCGCCGAATATTAGTTGACTTACAGTACTGGCTGATGATGGTGACAGTAAGATTGGCTAGTCTGCAGTCTGTACAGTGGCTCGTCACCTGGAAAATTATCACCAGCTGCTTGCCAAGGTGCTGCAGCATGCTAGCACAACATCCATGCACACATCTATATTCAAGCACGTGTGCACAATACATTGACAACATCTCACCTGTCTGCGCTAGAGTCTGCACATATTGCTAAGCTGACGCCTGGCTGGTGTTTGCGAAAGAAGTCCGTACGTGTGACAGTTGTCACCACCTGACCTTGCACTGTAGTCACTGGTTGTGTGTCACGTTTGCCTGTGGGACCATTCCAACCGATACACTGCTTGTAGCTGGCACTACTCACGCTCTTTGCTGTCTTGTTTCTTCTTGATTGCCTTTGCTTTCTGTGCTGTCAGCTACGCGAATCATGGAAACCGCTCGGTGTCTGTCGTCATCCAGTGGCGATTCACTCCCATTTGCCATCAAGCCAGTCAACAGCAAGGCAGCAATGGATGTGGACGTGTTGGATGCGACGCAATCCAACCTGGGAGGTGAGCACATGCTGTCAGTGTGTGTGTGTGTGTGCGCCCGCGCGCGCGCGCGTGTGTGTGTGTGTGTGCGCGTGCGTGCGCGCGCGTGTGTATTTATGGTAAAAATTATTCATTCTGCGTCCACTTCACCACCACCACATTTGCGCTCTGCGGCCGACCACGTTAATTCCCCACAACAGCAACAATCAATCAAGATGATTGATTTTTACAATAACACCTAGTCCTTGAGTTTTACACCTTATTTTTCACACGTTGAGTATCAAGCGCGCGCTTATTGATGCGCCATCTTGTTGCAGTGGTCAGTATAAACTACTGAAGTATAAAATAGGCGATTTCTGTCTTTTTCGAGTCATTCAACATTCTACCTTCTCTGATGAGGTCTCTGATGACCGAAACCGCTGTCAGAAGGAATTAAAATATTTTGAGTACTCCGAAGCTCTTGTTGCTGTTGTGGGGAATGATCGTGATCGGCCGCAGAGCGCAAATGTGGTGGTGGTGAAGTGGACGCAGAGTTTTCAAGTGCCGAGTGCTGCTGCTTACTTTCTTCTTACGTAAAAATTATTTATATACTTTTTTAAAGATAACAAAGGTCAAAAAGAACGGTTCCACCAATTATATATACATACGTTGTAACGCTGCGTTTCATGCACGTAGCTAAATGCTAAGGCAATCATCAGACAACTAGATAGATAAGAATCCCAACAACTGGCAATGCAACTACTTCACTTGGCGCGTTATTGTTTTCTCCCCCTCCTTCAGGTGTTGTGTTTGAAGATATGACGGACGATGCCAGCACAAAGCTGCCTCCGAAGCTCTCCTACACGCTGCGCTTACGCACGGACAGCAGTAGACGCACGGCTGGCACCTCCAAAGTGGCCACCTGGCTCACTGCCCTGCGAGTGCCTGCGTTCTCCGATGCGGGCATTATCGAGCAAGTGTACGTATTCACTCTACAGTGCTGCTCGACGAAATCCAGTCGAGTCACTCGAGTACGTGCCGGGCGCTGCGCAGCCCTGGACCTCTGAGCGCTGGCCTGCGAAGTGGTGCGAGGCGCACACTTGACTCGCACGACCGGATTTCATTGAGCAGCGCTGTGCTTTTCGTTGCTGCATGCATTCTGGACGACGGGTTTCGTTGCTCAGCGCCGTAGTGTTTCACGTGCGGCCTCTGAGATGATCAGTGCACACAATGATCTTGCAGCGTGCTCCTGTCACAGCTAGAGTAGCATAATGTGCATGGAGGGTTCAACATATTTCTGCACATATCTGCTGTTAAAAAATATAAAAAATAAAAAACAATTCGTAAGCAGGAATGGACTCGGATGGAGAGCCAAGGATTAATTTATAGAAGAAAAAAATAGACCAAGGAACTACAAGTTACGCTAGAATGTCCACTAACACCACCAGCTACTAAACAATCAGCTCTTGCGATAACATTGCACGACACTGACCGACGGTACTGACTTTCTACAACTAACTGGCTAACAGCTCTAGCACATCTTGGATGCGCACTCCAACAGCCTTCCAACTTGGAAGGTTCTAAGTTATAGAAATAACATAAGGAGGGGAAGGTGAGCGCAACCAAGATAAGCACGAGCTGAAAGTCTCAGCTGTGAAGGACGTTGGCGGATGTTCATGCATGTCGATGACGATACTTGCAAGACCATTGGACAATACGGTCATCGACATGCATGAACATCCGCCAACGCCCTTCACAGCTGAGACTTTCAGCTCGTGCTTATCTTGGTTGCGCTCACCTTCCCCTCCGTATGCTATTTCTATAACTTAGAACCTTCCAAGTTGGAAGGCTGTTGGAGTGCGCATCCAAGATGTGCTAGACCTGTTACCCAGTTAGTTGTCGAACGTCAGTACCGTCGATCAGTGTTGTGCAATGTTATCGCATGAGCTGATTGTTTAGTAACTGGTGGTGTTAGTGGACATTAGAGAGGTTCCAGGGTACGATTTTCCGTGCCAAAATCCGTATGGGCTCTATGGATTTTTTCCAGGCGTGCTCCATACGATTTTTCGGCACGGAGAATCCGTGTGGACTGGCTTTCACACGAACCATGTTTCGTATGGAGATTTCGCGTCATCGGGTGCAGAAAGATTTTTCGCGTACAAATTTGGTACGAGAAACATCGATTTCGGCGGGTAGTTTTGATTTCGGTACAACTTTTCAAAATATAAAGGCATAGCGCGGGAATGTGACGTGTTTGCGATCGTAACCTAGGCAATGACGGCAAACACATAAGTTCCGTACTCCGGAACATTTCACTGCTCGAAAACGACGTATAAAAAATCCGTAGCGCCTCTATTCTAGCGTAACTTGTAGGTCATTGGTCTATTTTTTCTTCTACAAATTCGTAAGCAGTGAACATTATCCATACACAACTCCCTATTAGTGTATAACTTAGCATTCAACTTCCGCATGAAGATTTGTCTTGACGTGTTGATTTCCTGAGCCGCAAACACCAAGTCTGAAACTTGGCGCACGCAGTTTTTATTTATTTATCAGCCAAACTCTTTTCTTGTTGGCGTGCAGCAACCATGATGGACTGACCCAGCCCCTGATGTACGTAATTGACCAAGCCTTCACCCGCATTCAGGTACGTCCTCCACTATTTGTACAGAATGGCATGTTCAATGCACACTTGCGCACGCACGCTTACTCACGTGCACACACACACACACACGCACACACACGCACACACATGTGCCCACACATGTGCACAAACATGTGCACAAACACACGTACACACACACACACACACACACGCATACGTTGATATTGCTACGTCCACGATGCCAATTTGGAATGATTTTGATCGTGCTCTGTTCACGACGGACGCGTGCGATGCGAACTCGCGAAATACCATTCACTGAAGAAGTCAGCGATGCAACAAAGTCTTACTGATTTGGGTACGTCACCATGATATTCGCGCAGTTTGGTACAACCTGTACAAATTTATAGGCAACTCTTGAACCTTTGTACAACTTTGCTGTAGAAAAGGTCAAAATCGTACGCCAAATCGCTTGTCGCATCGCATCGCAAAAAATGAGCCAAGCTCAACTTCTGCGATGGCCCAGTTGCGGCAGTTGCGGCAGTTGCGTGGGGTGCGACATGGCTGTGATTTGGGGTTTTCCCGGTTTCGCGTCTGTCGCATCGCGTGTCGCATCGCAAAAAAGCTTCTGTGAATCCCGCTTTAAGGTGGCTGGGGCAGTACAACTTTTTAGGGGTCATTTTGATCACATTTTGACTGCATTTTTGAGTTTATCGGCAAGGTGGTGATGAAATTTGAAAATGTTTTCTGGTGAATCTCTGGAGAAGAGCCTTCTCTAGCCTCCTATAGTTTTATTTCTACTTTTGGACAACATTTGAAAAAGTTTTATGAAAGGTCCGTGAAAAAATAACCTTTCATAAAACGTTTTCAAATTTTGTCCAAAAGTAAAAATAAAACTATAGGAAGCTAGAGAAGGCTATTCTCCAGAGATTCACCAGAAAACATTTTCAAATTTCATCTCTGCCTTGCCGATAAACTCAAAAATGCAGTCAAAATTTTCCCAAAAAAGTTGTACCGCCCCAGCCACCTTAAAGGGGCACTCCGGGAATATTTTCGGTGGTGTGTTCTCTTCATGGGGGCCTTATATGGCCCCCGAGGAATGGGGAATCGCGAAAACTAGACCCGAAAAGTTGATATATGAAGCCAGGGAGGGCCAAGTTTGTCTCCTCTTTTGATGATTTTGATGACGTCACGTGTGATTAGTATTCAAATTCTCTGCATTTGAAGATCTTAGTTGTTTGGATTTTCTGGTGATGAAGAACGATGTTTGGTCAACATTCCCAAGCTTCACAACTGCGACCATACTCTAAGGAACCTGAAGGACCTCCTGAGGTGCCCCTGGTAGAAGCGCAGCCTGATGAGGGCCAGGAAATTGGAGCGGACGACTTCACTGGCCGGCAAGGAAATAACGATTGGTGTTCCTGCCAGAAATGTGGGGTGATGCAGAGGGCAGTCGATTACCTTCGCTGTCGAGAGAGCGCTGCAGCTGTTAGCATTGACAGCCCTTTGACATGCGTTACACATCACCCCGACTTCGCGTCAGCTTGTCTAAACAAGACTGTTCTGACCATATGCCTCACGGCGTATAGAGAATTTCGCGATCATCGTACTCGGACCAGTGAAGTCGTCCGCTCCAATCTCCTGGCCCTCATCAGGCTGCGCTTCTACCAGGGGCACCTCAGGGGGTCCTTCAGGTTCCTTAGAGTATGTCCGCAGTTGTGAAGCTTAGGAATGTCGACCAAACATCGTTCTTCATCACCAGAAAATTCAAACAACTAAGATCTTCAAATGCAGAGAATTTGAATACTTATCACACATGACGTCATCAAAACCATCAAAAGAGGAGACAAACTTGGCCCTCCCTAGCTTCATATATCAACTTTTTGGGTCTAGTTTTCGCGATTCCCCATTCCTTGGGGGCCATATAAGGCCCCCATGAAGAGAACACACCACCGAAAAAAATTCCCGGAGTGCCCCTTTAATTGTGTGACGAAAGTGGCAATGGATTTGTACTGTATCTAAAAGCTTGTGTCTCCACATTCATTGTTTGAAAGCCCAATTGCCTTTGGGGTGGTACATGTGTTCCACACGAAATTTAAACGAGTGCCAGCGACTCTCCCATGCTCTCTGTTCACGAACTGAACCCTTCCTGTACTCTATTGGTATGTGTCCATAGGCATAGAGTGCAGAGAGTGGCCAGGGTCTGATCTGAATTTTTAATTCTGAAGCTCCAAGCAGCCCCTAGCCCCCCCCCCCCCCCCCATCTACTACATGTACAGTAAGACCTGTGGTTGCCGGACCCTGTACCCGGTGGAATCCTGCATTGACCGGACACATTTTCATGCTCCAAAGTACTTTGGATCTTGAACTCGCATCCCGGGATCAAGCGGAATCCTGTCGCATCAGGACAGTTTCCGCTGCACCAAGGACGTGGTATGGTTAGGGCTGGTTTTACTGCAGTTGACAAGTGTTGCACTATGTTGTGTTGTGTTGTGTTATGGGCGGCCGCGGCGTAGGTGGAACATGCTGAGGCTGCTACAGGAGACCCGGTCAGCCTCTGCACCGAAGCCTCAAGCTGTCGCGGCGTCCGTGTGACAGCAGTGGACGGCACTCCCCTGAACGGGACCAACATCACCTGCGCCATTCGGCACTCTTCTGTAAGTCTGTGCAGCTAGTCCAGTTGGGTAGTGGCTGGCCTTGTTGCCACCGGGCTCGCCACCAGCACATGCCCAGTACACAGTGCAGTGCAGTGCATGCACAGCTCCATGTGCATGTGTGCTGTGGCAGTACAGTGCACATTGCACACTGCGCATACCTTGTACGTAGCAGTGCGCTACACGTATGTTGCGGTGAAATGGGATTGGTTCTGATTTTAACGTAGCCAAATGAATGCCCGGTGCTCTTGATCACCACAACATTTCCACTCAGGGCCACATTACTTACTTTTACACTAGTACAGTCAACTTTGCAGTCAACTTTGCGTATAACCACACTCGGCGGGGCATCAGAAAAGTGTCCTTATTCGCGAAGTGTCCTTACACCCGAAGTCTCATTATATGTATACAGGTAGAATGGACTTTGCTCTGGGCATGGAAATTCTGTCGTTATTCGCGAATTGTTGTTATATCTGCAGTCGTTATTAGCGAATTGTTGTTATATCTGCAGTCGTTATTAGCGAATTGTTGTTATATCTGCAGTCGTTATTAGCGAATTGTTGTTAATATATCCGCAGTCGTTATTAGCGAATTGTTGTTAAAGGGGCACTCCGGGAATATTTTCGGTGGTGTGTTCTCTTCATGGGTGCCTTGTATGGCCCCCAAGGAATGGGGAATCGCGAAAACTAGACCCAAAAAGTCGATATATGAAGCCAGGGAGGGCCAAGTTTGTCTCCTCTTTTGATGGTTTTGATGACGTCACGTGTGATTAGTATTCAAATTCTCTGCATTTGAAGATCTTAGTTGTTTGAATTTTCTGGTGATGAAGAACGATGTTTGGTCGACATTCCCAAGCTTCACAACTGCGGACCTACTCTAAGGAACCTGAAGGACCCTCTGAGGTGCCCCTGGTAGAAGCGCAGCCTGATGAGGGCCAGGAGATTGGAGCGGACGACTTCACTGGTCCGCGTACGAGGATCCCGAAATTCTCTATATGTCGTGAGGCATATGGTCAGAACAGTTTTTTTAGACAAGCTGACACGAAGTCGGGGTGATGTGTAACGCACGTCAAAGGGCTGTCAATGCTAACAGCTGCAGCGCTCTCTCGACAGCGAAGGTAATCGACTGCCCTCTGCATCACCCCACATTTCTGGCAGGAACACCAATCGTTATTTCCTTGTCGACCAGTGAAGTCGTCCGCTCCAATTTCCTGGCCGTCATCAGGCTGCGCTTCTACCAGTGGCACCTCAGGAGGTCCTTCAGGTTCCTTAGAGTATGGTCGCAGTTGTGAAGCTTGGGAATGTTGACCAAACATCGTTCTTCATCACCAGAAAATTCAAACAACTAAGATCTTCAAATGCAGAGAATTTGAATACTAATCACACGTGACGTCATCAAAACCATCAAAAGAGGAGACAAACTTGGCCCTCCCTAGCTTCATATATCGACTTTTTGGGCCTAGTTTTCGCGATTCCCCATTCCTTGGGGGCCATATAAGGCCCCCATGAAGAGAACACACCACCGAAAATATTCCCGGAGTGCCCCTTTAATATATCCGCAGTCGTTATTAGCGAATTGTTGTTATATCCGCAGTGGTTATTAGCGAAGTTGACTGCAGCATGTGTCAAGCCCGTTCTACGGTAGGCACTTGTCGCAGGTAAACAGCGGCTCGCCTCTCGCCAATAAAGCACCGTATACCAATGAAAACTAATGGAAGCACACACACGGCTTATTGTTGCTCTGTACTGGCCGTCGGGTAGCGATAGCAAATTACCTAATTTCAGAACTCAGAGTGAACTTGACGTGCACTCCACAAAACCTTTCCGGTTTGGAGCCACCTCTGATTTGAAACGAAGAATCGGGCAACTTGGAGGCAACGGGCCAACACGAAGGAGTGGCTCAGTTCGATCGACTCTGGCCTCAGAGCAAACTTCAACATGTCAGTTTCCTTCAACATATTTCAAACATATTTCGAGTGAACAATCCACGTTGATGATCGGTTTGGGTCTACACAATTTGATAAATAGACTGCCTACACCGATGATGTACATAAATATACTGCCTACACCGGTAATGTTCAGTGGCAACGGCAGAGATGGACCCACTTTGTACGTTTGTCCCAGTCACAAGCCGTCAAGTGCGACGCATGCACTGGCACGCATTCCATGGGATTGGGTGAATGTGGCTGGCTCTGTGTCAGGGAGTAGGTATTTTACTACTCCCTGCTGCTGCATATCATGCACGCTGGCATGTGTGGTCATGCACACGCCATTCCACTCAAATGATAATTATGTTAGTGCACACTGACTGTACACTGTGAGATACTACTGGGCATTGCGGGGGGGGGGACAGTATTTTATACCGGTGATCTGAACCCCTTTCTTCACACATTGTGTATGTCTCCAGCGAGAGTGTAATAGTGTAAGCTCCCAAGAGTGTGATCGTGTAAGCTCCAGCTGAATTTCGCGCATCTATCAAAATGTTCCTAGGGTTCCCTGTTAAAAGGCGTCGCAGCCTGTTGGGAATTCCCTAGTAAAACAAGAATAAATAATAAATTTGAAACTCGGATGTTGAGCCATAAATAAATGTAGAAAGGAAAAGGACATATGGATACGAGTTAAGAGTAACTCTCCATCACTGTAACATGATACTATATACAGTCAGAAAGTGCAATAACTAGGCACAAAACTGACAGAGTACTGAGACATTCGACGTCCTGACACCTAGCTTCAACACATCTCCGTAGCGCTAACCGACAGCCTTCCAACTTGGAAGGTTCAAGGTTATGGAAAGACCAAAGTGTACAATTCGTTTTCGCAAAGCTGCCCCTTCTTTACATATCTTTATTAAATTTTATGACCCACCCAAGTTGGGTGGTGTGCTGCTTTGCTGCTTCGAATTGTAGTTAGACCGCTTTGTCAAATATCCTACTAGTCTCGTCATAGTCCAGTTAGGCTGTGTTTACATGAGGCGTTTCAACCCGGGTCAGATTTCAACCCGCCATGTGCACAAAGTGAATGACGCGTTTACATGACGCATTGCGCTTGACCCGGGTTGAAATTTCGCCCCGGGTTGATTTCAACCCTCCCCCCAAGGGGAGGGTTGAAATCAACCCGGGTCAAGAAAATCGTACAAACGTACTTCTGTGCGTATCTCGCGCCAGGTTTGAACAGCACTGCAGATGCAAATTTCGCGCGAACGGATTCACGTGACCATACAGGACTGTAGAAGTGGACTTTTGGCGGCATATCAGTATTTGACCCGGGTCAACTGTCTTCATGTAAACGCTCACCTCTTTTGTCTGTCGTACAGACTTTCAACCCGGGCTGAACTCGACCCGGGTTGAAATTTCTCATGTAAACACAGCCTAACAATCGAC